AGAATGTGAGCAAATACATTTCTTCTGATAAATTATTCAGTCTCCATATTTTGTTTTAACAGCACAGAATGGATGAGACATTATCTAAAACACACAGCTCTTAAATTAAGAATAAGAACATAACCCATGACTGTATCAACTCAAAAAATTATGGTTAGGTGGGCTGGGGATGTGGCTCAAGCAGTAGCGCGCTCGCCTGGCATGCGTGCGGCCCGGGTTCAATCCTTAGCACCACATACAAGCAAAGATGTTGTGCCCGCCGAAAACTAAAAAATAAATATTAAAATTCTCTCTCTCTCTCTCTTTAAAAAAAATTATGGTTAAGGCATAACACATTAGAAAAACATTTACCTAGCATACACAGGCCCTGAGTTTGATCCCCAGCAACACACACACACACAAACACACATTAATTGTCTTAAGTATCAATTTATACCACTACCAAAAAAAAAAAAAAACTCAGGCATTTTTAAAAATGTTAAACATATATATATATATATATATATATATATATATATATATATATATATACACACACACACACACACTTTTTTTAAGTGTTTAGTAAGATGAACATAACTAAGAAGTTTATATTTTTTTGTTCAGGACCACCTTGTTAATTCTGATCCCCTGACTCTCACTTTCAATTTTTAGATTCAAAATGGATTCTCAACTCAAAAAGTTTATTATCTCCTCTTCTTGTCCAGTTTTTCTCCCATCATTCTTACCCCAAGTAAAATAGTATCAGTGATGTGTCATATTTTTCTATATGCCCACACAAATATGTACAAACACAAATGAACACGCTTATATGCAGTCTGGAATATACAATTAGCCCTAGATTCAGATAACAGTCAGTCTTCTAACCCTGTCAATCACATGGAATTCTTACCAATGGAACTAGTTTACCTGCTTTCTTGATATGTAACAGAGGTTTGGTTATTTTACTGATAAAATTGGCACTGGAGTGACCTCAGTACCATGATTTTTTAATCTTAGCTGCATATTATCATCACATGGGAAACTAATTTTTTTAACAATCCAGTCATATTCAGATCAATTAATTCATAATCTTAACATATGAAACAATCTCAGACATCAGAATTTATTCACAGCTCCCCAATAAAATTTCAAAGTTTCACAAAATTATTTTCAAAAAGTGACATAGATCTAATTACCTATTACCTGTCTATCCTGACCATTTCAATAATTTTCGTAAGTCAGGCATTGCTGTCCAAGTTTACAGCAAAGAAATTGCTGAGCATTGTCATTGTTTCTGTCCTAATTTTTACTTGCCCTGACCTAACTTGGACTGATTCAGGGAAAAGTCCATTATACAAGAATCTACCACCAATGTTGGAGAGTGCCATGAAATCAGAGACAGAAGCTAATAGACCCAGGATTGCACAAAGTACAATTTATTTGGGACTTATGGATACATCTTAGGCTACAGCAAGATAGGAGAATCTCTGCACCCTAAGGCAGAAGGAAGGAATTTATGGTAAGATAGACCAAGATAGGTCTTAACCAACTAGAATATACTTGTGACTGCTCATAAACTATTAGCATATTAAACATCAGTTAAGAAACAGTCTGGGTGTTAGTGGCCAGCAGGAAAAGTTTGGCTTCTTATCTCAAAGACTTTGTTTAGCACTTTAGGGATTGTAATGCAAGGGTCACATGGCAGCCAAGATGTTGGTTACAACTAAGATAGCTGTTTTCATGTCACACTACATCCCTACAAAAACCCAAACTATTTTTTTTTGCTAATGTTACAATAGGAATTTGTCCATCTGGAGGTTGCTTCAAGCACATTTGTCTCTGGGCCTGTTTGCTCAGGAAGTTGGTATTAAGGTCATTTTCCAAACATTGCCAAATACTTACACTAAGTTACTAAAAATCACTGCAGAGTTTTTGAAACTTGAGAATTTCCAGTTTTGCCCTTAAGTTATTCTGATTGTGTTCATCTTAGACGTAGCCCCAAACTCTGTGCTTTAAATCTGTTGTGAATACAGGTTTGGAAACCACCCTTGATGGAAAAAAAGTTATCTAAAATAAATACTAAACAAGGTTGTTTTAGTCAGCTTTTTCACTGCTGTGACTTAAAAACCTGACCAGAACAACTGTAGAGGAGGAAAGGTTTATTTAGGGGCTCATGGTTTTAGAGGTCTCAATCCATAGACAGATGACTCCAATCCTCAGGGCTCCAGGTGAGGTAGGATATCATGGCAGAAGAGTGTGGCAGAGGGGAAACAGTTCACATGATGATGGAAGCAGAGAAAGAGGCCTGTCTCACCAGATACAAATATATACCCCATAGCCATGCCCCCAAATGGGCCACTTCCTTCAGCCACATCCACCTGCCTCCAGTTACCACTCAGTTAATCCCATCAGGGATTAATTCACATGTTAGGTTGATGCTATAATCCAATCATTTCTCCTCCAAACCTTCTTGCATTGTCTCTACACATGAGCTTTTGGGAGGATATTTCACATTCAAACCATAACAGTGATCTTTCCCCAGGAATGTTGAAAGTATATGTAATGTGCGTGTATAATATCTATCTATCTATCAATCTATGTGTCTACTTTTTATCATCAGTTCAAATTCACTAGGAAAGGATTTAAGATAAATGGAAGGCTTTATTTAAAAATAAACAGCAGTTTTCAAAGTGGAGGGTTGTAATCTTCAGTAAAAAATGAAAATGTACCCTTAGGGATCTGAGGAGCCAGAAAAAATGCAGGTCCAGGTTCCCACTCTGCTCCTTTATACAAAAAAAAAAAAAAAAAAAAATGCCAGCCTGCAACCTGCTCAGTCCTGATGAATTGCAGGTTAGAATTCATTGGTCAAGCCAAGTGGCAAAATGGGGCTTTCTGGGAGCTATTTACTTTGGCAGCTAGAATAGGAACAGGTTTGGGCAAGGGCCACAAAATTTTAATTTATGGTTCTTCCAGGAAGAGTACATGTGTGACCCCCAACTCAGCAACTGGCTACCAGATTTTACTTGGGGCCCTTCTTAGAGACTCAGCTTTTCTTAAAGTTCATTTTATCCATATATCCATGTAAGTATAAAATGTCTTCCAGGAATTTTGATTGGAGAGGTTGGGAAAGAGAGAGAAAAGAAAACTGAAGTTCTGGGATCTAACCCTGTCACATAAGCCAAGATAGGAGAAAGTCACAAAGAATGAAGTTTTTTGACAAACAAAAGAACTTTGGGTTTCCTTGCCAACTGCAGAGGCTGCTGGGAACAGCGTGAATCTGTGATGACAGCAGGACAGCAGGGAGGGGGTTATGAACAATAGTAGCTGATCCAAACCCAGAGCCACATGAGGTCAAGTCAGATGCAGAAATCCCTTCTAATGAGAGTAAAAGATAAGAACAAAAGAATACAGGATACCAGGGGAAGAAAAACTGTAACCTCTTTACAGGAAAAAGATAACAAAGACAGTTAAGTTACAAATAGTACATCATTCTTTGGTTAGAAATAAATAAATAATAGAAGAGATTATCTTTCCCTTGGGAACAGAGAAAACCAAATGTGTGGGAGTCTGGTGCAGAGTTTTTAATTTTTAATAAATAAATTTATCTATGTGAGAGTGGAAGTAACAATAAACAACTAAAGAGAAATGAAAGAATAAAATTTCTCTTTTAATCCATGTATATGTAACTTGTGTTTCAGTCCTGGATGAGAACCAGTAATCTCTGTTCACCTAAGCTATGATTTAAAAAATGATCTACATTTAAAAATTTGTGTTTAAAATGTTTTGTTTATAAATCTTACCAAATATTTATGTTGAACATTATTCCTTAGTTCTAAAGTTTCTTTCTATATATAGAGGAAAATCAATTAGCTGATAGTTTTAAATCTTTAAAGAATAATAAACTACTAGATGTTATATATAAAGTTGTTTCAAAGAACTATTAAAGTATTCCACAATGCAACTGGCTTTGAACTTGAATCATATCCATTTTTCCAGTAAATTATAGATCACTGTCCTAGTAAAATTAATATCACAGGTTACTTTAGTTTTTAGACTATACATAACAATGCAGTTATATGAGGGAGAAGATGAAATCTTTATCTTTTGAAAAAATTCTGCAATCAGCAATTTTGTTCTGGAAAAGGTCTTGAAATCATTTGCTTTTAGCTTTGAGTGTGCCAATACTGACAAACTATTTTAAGAAAGGTGTAAAAAGTAAGGATTCTTATATCTTAATATCTTCAAACAATTTATTAGAATGTTTCTGAAGGAAATAAAATATGAATTTTAAAACTCTAAAGTTTTCTAAATATACTAATGCCCAGATTACCAAAACAATAACTTCAATATTATTAATTTGAATCAATGATAGAGTTGTAAAAGTGAAGTTATTATGCTACATCACTAGATTATGAATTTTCTAAATTTTAAAGATTAATAAGAGTATATTTTCATAGGAAAATGTTGGAAGAGTGGTTATGCACATGAAGGCTATGGTAGACAGTAGTACAGGCAAACATTTGCTAAGCTGGTACATTGCTACTGCTCCACCTACCAGGACCCTTACCTTGGGATCTCTCAGACCTTCGTGTGATCTAGTAACCTTCACAACAGGAGTTTCCTTAAACTTGTTCCAGTCCTGACCTTTGTCCCTTCTGGTTATTCGTATTTAAATATCACCAGAGTGCACATCTAAATATGTTATAATAAAGCAAGAAAAGAGTCTTTTATTTGAGAGAGAAAAAAATCAGTGAGATGATGCTGAGATAGAAGCATAGAACAAGTATTCTCCTGGGTCCAAAGGATAATTTTAAGACCTGAATAATTAGAACATCAGATCAGAAGGCATCAGACAAGAAGTGGAGACTGTTCTGTGAAGCAAGTTCATTTGCCTGAGAGTTTAGATACAGTCACTTTTTAATCTGTTTTTGACTCTATGACGACTGTAGCTTTTTTCTTCATCACATGAGCTTGCAATCGCAAGTCTCTTGTTTCTTGGTGAATTTGAAAGAAACATATTAATACAAATCTTCAATCTTCACTAATTTAGCTGTCTTCTCACATATCCAAGAAATTTCAGCACTACAGCGGGAAACATAAATATTTCCTCTTTGAAAATAAGCACATCCTTTGGATCCATTGATCTGGGAAAGTTCATTATTACTAAATCTGAAAATTAATTGATTTAAAATTATTAATAAATACTGTATTTGGGATTTGATCACCATTCAGTATTCCTAGGTACCTTTGCAGTCAACAACTGGAATATTCTGATACTTTTGCCTTATAGTATCAAAATTCTTAACCTGACACATCCAAATTCTTTATTTCTAGTTAATTGTTTTTCTAGGTAGAATTATTATTTAAGAACACTTAAGTTCTATGCCGACAATTTGTATTTCCTTCTCTAGTATGGGATTCCATTAATGGAATTCCCTTGGTCCAGATTAAATTAGAAGTGCTAGAATAATTGTACTTTGGGACTGTAAAAAGAAAAGTAGAAAAAATGAATCACATTCTCTACAAAATTTCATTACATTCTACTATGCAAAAGCCTAATTTTACTTGTGTTTACTTATATGTGGGGTTAACAAGAGAACAAGGCTGAGGTTAAGAGAAGAAATGAATTAAAATATAGATGTGGTTCTGATAATAGTTCTCAATTTCTCTTCTAGGAAATTGATGATAACTCCCAAATAATGTCATTATAAAATTAAGCTTGACAACTAAATCCTCTATGTGATCAGTATTGCTCTTGTTCAAATGACCTGCATTACTACTACCATGTTCTTTTCTTGCTTCAGGATAGGCTTCTTAAATTTTAGTCTTAGCTAAACACTCGCTCAGCAGTTAAGACTTCAGGAGCCAAGGAAATGGCTATGTAATCCCGAAGATTACTCTAATTTGAGTATGATGAGTGGTTTACCTGAAGCTGCATGTTCTCTGGGGTCAGTGTCTGCAGGCTCTGAACCCTGCTCTGGGACCCTCTTCCATATTTTGATTAGGAGTTAAAGGAGGGACTAAGGATGATTAAAATCCCTTTGGGTGAGGGGAAACATCTTAGATTCCAAAATGAAAGCTGAATTGCATTTACATGAGGTCATGGCACCACCTCTTAGAAATTCTTAGTCTAGTAGCAATACGTGCCTCAGATTAATTTTAATCAGTGCGTGACCAATATCACTCCAGGTACCAAAAAAGTTGCTGTAATTTTGTTTGCTAATGTGTTATTCAGCACATGCTTTTTGCCATTATTGCTTATGTGAAACCAGACTAATCAATTTAATATGACTAGTAATAGTGATTAGAGAGTATTAGAGATTGATATTTGAGTAGAAATAGCCATGGCAAAACTTGAGGGAATGAATGAAAATAAAGTGTCTCTGGGAAGAAAACAATAGACATATTGTTGTTCAAGGAGTTTGATGTATAAGAGCTGAAGCACAACATCTTTGACAAAAAAAATGAATAGCATAAGTCAGTTTAAGAAAACTTTGACAACATGCTTCAATGAGTAAAATAGGAGTAAGTTGGATGCATTAGGTACTTGTTGGGAGAGGGCTGTGGAGAAAAAACTATACCCAAACTGATGCCAATGATCTTAAATTTCATCTAATACAAAAATACTATATATTACATTTAAAATATGAAAAACATTATGTCATTTAAACATAATTATGAATGAAATGTTCACCAAAATTTTTGGTTTTGTATTTTTTAAAAGAATCTTTCAAAGCTATGTGCTCCCTTACACATTTTTTTTTTTTTTTTTGGTACTCTGGATTGAACTCAGGGGCACTCAACCACTGAGCCACATCTCCAGCCCTATTTTGTATTTAGAGATAGGGTATCACTGAGTTGCTTAGCACTTCGCCATTGCTGAGGCTGGCTTTGAATGCATAATCCTCCTATCTCAGCCTCAGGAGCCACGGGGATTACAGGCATGCGCCAACTGGCCTTACACATACATTTTTTAAAAAATGTTTTTCTGAAGAAACTTTCATCTGTGACATGTCCTACAGATAGAACAAACACTTACCAGCACACCCCTGCTTCCAAGTGGCTGCCTATTTTTGGCTCCACACTGATGATCAGAAGCAGCACCTGGACTTCCAGGTACTGGGAGATGGAGTCTCTTTCCAAGGTTTTCTTACAGTAGATACAGAAAATGGCAGACATCTATTTTTTCCATAACTTTAGATAGTTGGAAAAATGCAATTTTCAATTGCTGTATCCTAAATGTACTTTAAATATTTTCATCAAAATTTTGCAATGGCAGATTTAGCTCAGTTTAGTTTATGAAAGACATTTGCCATATAACCTAATTGGAAAGTCTTTATCATGAAATTATTTCAAAATTACTTTCTATTAGAAAGTGACTGACTATTATTTGATCCAAATAGATATGTTAATTTGTGTTCTTGTGACAAACACAATCCTGGATTCTAAGTGCTGGAGAGCAGAATAGCTAAGTGACTAAACACATGGTCCCTAAAGCACTAAAGTCCTGATATGGTCACATTTGAGCTGAGTCATCTTTAATTTAGTCTCTTTTTTGACAATATTTATCTATAAAATGGGAATATAACAATGCTCCATTCAAGGGTTTGTATTTATATAGAATTCTCTGAAGATACTAAGCATTATATTTATATGTTAAATAAAGAAAAAGTTTAATAGGCAAAGTCTAGTGACTTGCCCTGACTTGATCATACATATGAAATTAGATATACCACCAAACAATATTTGCTACTCTTTTCTTTGTACTTTGCACTCCTTTTTAAAATCTAGATTTATAATTCTCATAATTCACTCTCAGGATTCTAAGGAAATCTTGGTTTTCTATTCCCAATAGACTTACAAGTATGGAGAGGGAACTGAGCCATCTTCCCATAGCCAATTTCCATCAGATGGGTGCCATGATAATCCCAGCCAAAAAAAAGAAATCATGGGTAATGGCTGTGACATTAGAAAATTCTGAGGGAAAAAACAGAGAGAAATCTTTAAGAGAAAGTCACATTCTAGGTTATAGAAATAAGACAGAAATATTTACTAAATTCATCTGCTGGTTCTTATTCAGAATCCACTGAATTTCTACCATGTGAATCAGAAATTTCATTCATATACCTTTCATTATATGGGATAATTTCTATAACAAGGAAGGAGATTCAATCATACCTTTTCTTCCAAGCTGTCAATCTTCAGCAATGTGGAGTTCTTTTCTATGCAGTCCTCTCTACTGTTACTCCAGGTTTTCTCTTTATTTATTGTGAAATAATAGCAACTTTCTTGGTACCACTGCCATGTCTTAGGACAAGGATTACATTTATGATCTGAAAAAGGAAATTATACTCAAAAGCATGAACAATGAAAACTACATTGGACAATAGAATGTGAGGGCCAGCACCCTGAAAACATGCTGTTTTAGGAGCCTTTGAAAATGAAGTCACTCTGGTTATGGCTTGCAGCACTGGAGATACTCTTTTCAGGGTTTGGTCTTCTGGCCTCAGAATTTATAGCTATGCTTTTAACTTCATATAATAATGGGATCGCTTACAAATAGTTAATAAAACAAGGGGATGAAGTTTCCAATTGATATTCTAAAATGATTCCCATATTTGCTTCTGCGTCTTCAAAATTATTAAATAAATCTATATCTTTTCCTAAATTCTATCTTTTCCTAAATTTAGAGTGACATCCTCAAAACATCATTGAATGACATAACTGTCTCATACTCTGAGGTGCCACACATGGTCAGCTTAAATCAGAGCAACTGATATATTGTGACTGGTCAGCAGATCTAATTACCTGAAGTGTGAATGATTAGCTCTCTGCAGAGTTTGATAGCTATTTGCCCCTGTCTCTTTAGTAGATTAGATATCTGTGATTTGAGAAATTCTTCTTCCACGGGTAAGTGGTTGCTCAGTTGCTGGGATAAATTTTCCTGCTGGTGGTGGATAATTTTCTGAAGTCGATTCAATGTCTCTGAATCTGAGTTAATTTTGTTAGACATCTGCAAAACTCCAAGAATAACATGACAGGAGAGAAACTCAAATATCCTTCCATTCTCATAATAGCCATCCATAATTCTCTTGATTCAGAAACATTTCTTATTGTTTAATATTTATTAGTAACTCCTAATAATTGAGATTTCATGAAAGAAACATACCAGATACTTTTCAACCCCAAATTGTTTAGAGTTTACCTTTATAATTTTGTTCATGTATTGACTATTGTACTTGTGTTAAATAATGAATTAAGTATTATAGTACTCATGTTAAAATAATGAGTTAATGATTACATATCTGATATTTCACCAAAATTGGTGTCAGCAATTTTGCCCCTTATTTTGGTATTTTTTTTTCTAATTGGAGTTTTTGGATAGAATTATAGTTTTAATAGAAATAAAATTCTTTGAGACAAGGGATATCTCAAAGTATAGTATGCTAACCGCCCTTTTATGGTAAATAATTGAGCATATATCATGGCAAGTTTATTCATTTTTCAGAGTACATCATTGCAGAAGATTAGCTTCTAATTCTCACAATATTGAGCTACTGAATATGTTATTTCTGCTAGAACATTTCTTTACAAAATAGGAAGCTACATAATTATCTTTTATTTGTCCAAATAGATATGTAGAAATCCTAATTATCCATTAGATTTTAAATATATAGATAGAAATTTTAAAAATAGAGATGTTAGTATCATTCAACAAATAACAGGTTTTTTACTTTAAGTTGCCTGAAACTCAATGTTGTACCAAATCACTACTTTATTCCACGTACTGAACAACATTCTATAAAATACATATTCTCAGGATGTTTTTCCACTTCGTTAGTCCTGAATTCCCACTCCCAATGGAGACAAAAGCAACCCCAACTTTCTAAGATTACAATAATAGGTCAGAATCAAGAAAATATTCCTTTTTGGCTCTGGTGTTGGGGAGCAGAGCTTCCACTGTCCTGCAGAGATGGCTCAATTCTGTCTTCTGGGTGTGGTGTAGCAGGGCGCTCCCTCCTTGCTTATACTGCCACTTAGACATTTTTCTCTACACTAGAAAGGTCTTGGGTAAACAGAGGGAGCTAGTCTTCAAGGTAAATGAACAGCATGCCATTTCTTAAACACAATCCCCCGACTCCTTTTTGTTACCACTGGCATAGTAAGTAAATGTGTATCTGGAAACAAAGGCTCCTTGCTCTGACTAACAATTATAAAAATAAGTCTATTTTGCTTGTCAAGAGAAAATAATGAGTTGGGACTGAACCTCCATATTAAAGTATGTCCCAAAATGATTTGTTTTGACAACATGAAGATGGGACACTTATGAGATGGCAAAATTATTAAAGGATTAAAGATGCTGGCACTTGTCCATAAATTGAATTTACGTAGTTTACAAGTTATACTTAATTGCCTTTCTTGTGTTTTATGCAAATATACTTACACATAATCCCCAAGGTCACCAGCCCAATCAACAGCATCAGGCAAAGAGTTAGCAGACCTTGGGCAGCCTGACGCCATATGGGGGATGGAGCTGGATGCCCTGTAAAGTCAACAGAGGAGTGAGCAAGTAGAACTGCTATGTGGGTTGTACACTTCGGGTTGTTTATTCTTCCAACTTAGGAATCTTCCAGGTACTAAAATTTGTCTCTTGTTTCTTCAATGACATTATTTAGAAAATTTCTACCATGAAGCCTAATAAGGGTCCATTACCAGTTTTCCTCCATTGATTCACCACTATCTTTCCTCCAAGATTAAATACCTCCTAATTTTTAGTTTTTTGTTTTAATATCATCATCCACCTTTAATCTTTAAGTTCACTGATTTCACAAATAACATGCTATGAAAATTTTTCCTGGACTGATGCTGACAATAGGAGAGACCTATTGTCTCCATTACGATTACAAATCTTCAAAAAGCAGGTTATTCTCTACTTCATATAAAAGTGAATTCTACTTTTAAAAGCAACTGTTATCTACTAAAATATAATGTTTATATATTATCCATGCTATTTATCACCCAGTAAATTATGAATTAATATAGAAAAAAAATGCACAGTTTAAACTGCAAACAGCAGAATAGGCCAGGAAGTCTGTGTCTAGTTCTTCAAATTTCAGCATCTTATCTTTATTTTTTAATAAAAATGTTCTCCTGTTTCTCTCACCTTCTCTTTGATTCAGGTCCTAAGGTGTCAAGTCCAATGTTTTGATAGATTGATACAATCTCCAGATGCACTATCACATGCACTATATCCAGACCTCCTTTTCCCTCAAGCATTAGAGTAAATAAAAAAGCCAAAAACATATAATCACCTTCATTTCACACATGTAAAAAGCCCATTCTAATCATCTTTTTGGTATATCCTCCCCTCAAACCTCACTCACACATGTACACATATTCATAAACTAAAAATAAGTCTAAATTAGTGCATGAGAAAGTAATTCATAAGATTCAAATGATTTAAGACAATTGCCTGAACAGTGAACAGACCTTCTGAAGTTAAGGGATAAGGATGTCGCCTTTTACATTAACCAGAAACTTCCATTTCCTCCAGTTGGTTAGAAGGGAATAAGCTGAAGACCAGAACTGAGACTGGGCTTCCTCCATAGTAATTGTATGGATTTTGTTCAGACATTTAATTTATTTCAGTCTCAGTTTCCTCCTCTCTGAAACCAGTAATATCATTTTGTTTACTTTATAATTATATCTCAATAAAAATATGATGATGAATATATAATACTATACAAGTATTGCTATTAATTATTCAGTATTACTAATTATACTTGGGATTTCAACTATCTTAATTGAAAAAAAAAAAAAACTTATAAATGTGAAACTAACACTTGCTCATGCCTGACCTGGCCATCCTCTACTTTTCGCCTTCAGTTACTTACACCATGTAAGAAAAATGCCATGTTCTCTGTTTAGAAGCCTCCAATTTGACTTATAAAAGAATATTCTTCCAGCAACCTTATAAAGTATAATTATCAAGGACATTTATAAAATAGAAACGTCTCAGTTTCCAATATCTATCTCTGAAACATCCAACAAAAACGTCTCACTAAGAGGTACAGCTTCTTGACACATACAGTTATCACACAACTTAAAACAGGTCCCTAAAGGCACATATTTTCTCTTCAACATTAGGAACACTCACTCTATGAATTGATTCCATGACTGTTTCCATCCTGAAGATGCCACTGCCCATGTCAAAACCAGCACCTCAAAGCTTTTAACACCTGTCATTCCACTGTCTCAGCTTGTTTTCTCTTAAACTCCTACCTCTTTTTCTCAGGTTATTTCCATCTTGATTATTTCTTGCTCCAGAAGAATCCTGAAATGTGAGTGTCGTGTAGGTCACTTCGTCGGACATTATAGAAGAAAGCACTACCACAAATTATGTAACTAATGTTTCAATATCTTCAGGTCTGTGACAGAGTGTTCTTTTCAAAGCTAGAAACTTCTCCATAGACACTCAACTGACCCTACTGGCCCTTTGTTAGAACAGAATAACAGTTTCTCTGCAGTAAAATTGAGAGAAGTCAAATATTCTCCTTAGACATTGAAATGTTACAGATTGCAAACTGTAGCACCATTGTTCTTTGTTGGGAACCCAAAAGGGGGTGCCTGGAGGCAGAGCAGGAATGGTGATTTCATCCTGAGGCTGCTCTGAATATTTGAAAAAATATCCAAGTTTTCTAATTTACAGACATCTAAGGCTAGCTCATCCTGTATAGAGACCATATAACATAGCAAGCAAAGGTACACATACTAAACCAGAAGAGCCATGTCACATGCATACCTATCTACTGTTATAAGTAATCCAAACGTGTGTGTGTGTGTGTGTGTGTGTGTGTGTCCCAGACGTGCGCACACGCCTGCTCACATGGAAGACAAAGAAAAGAGGGAGGGAGAGAGAGATGGTTTCCGTAATAGGAGTTATGTGACATAGAAGGAGATTAATAGCTATTGGTGAACATGATCAAGGCACAAAATATACATGTACGGAAATGTCACAGTGTAACTCATTAACCTGTATAATTAATATGTGTCAATTATGTATAATATATATTATATATGTGAAATTAATAGCTATTAAAATTGGACATGAATAAAATATGGAGTGCATATTCATAAAATTAATCATTCCTTCTGGAATGATTAAAATCTTTAACAGTATAATATAGAAGAATCTTCCTGCAGGTAACCAATACTCTAGAACAAGATTGTTGAAATAACTACATGAAGTTTCAGGAGAGTGAAAAAAGCTGGCAGGTTCCAGAAAGACAGACTGGTATATGGTAAAGTGTTTTTATTTTTTAATTTGTTCTATTGTCTTTTCTTAATATTTTTATTAGTGCATTATAGTTATACATAATAATGGAGTTGCTTTTGACACAATTATACATGCATGAAATACAATTTGCTCCAATTCAGTCTCCAGTGCTTCCTCTTTCTTTTCCTCTTCCCTCCCTCCCCCTATTCCTCTTCCTCTACTGGTCTTCCTTCTATTTAGTTACTGTTTTTTTTTTTTTAACTGTTGCTTTATTCACTGTGATGTATTCATATAATGTACCTTGTAAAATTTGATCAGTTTCTTTCCATGGTTCCTTCTTTGACCCATCCCTCCTCACTCCCTGTCAATCTCCTTCCTCTACTCTACAGATCTCCCTTGTTTTCCTTCCCACTCTTCTTATTTTTTTCTAGTTTCCAAATATGGGAGAAAGCATTTGATTTTGGACTTTCTGAGTCTGGCTTATTTCATTCAGTATGATGTTTTTTTCAGCACAATGGCAGTCTGCAGCTAAAACTCTTATAAAATACATTCTGTCTTTTGGATTTGATATATCAGAAGATGGAGCTTGGGGCAATTACAACCATAAATACTGCTAAAATAACTGGATACCCATATGGAACACTTTCTATGGGAAATGTCAAGAGTGTTTTGGGCCTTGAAGCCTATTGAGCTACATTTATCTATATTTCATTTAAAAATATTTGATAAAATAACCTACTTCTATTTTCTATTTCTTAAGTCTAAAATTGCTGAAAAGCATGTTTCCAGTAAAATTGAATTAAAATCTCTCCACAAGAATTTATACTGCAATACTAAACATTTCAACAACATGATATAAATGATAATGAGTTGAGAAATTTTATAGAAGGCATTGTGACTATAATTTGGAAGAAGGCAAGAAAAGATAGCACAATGGACATGCCTTGGGTTATTTAGTCACAACAGCCATAAGACTCACAGGGGTCTTTCTGAATGACTGCATCTATTTCTAATCTCACCACAATTTTTCATACAAATTTATTAACATATATAAGAAAATAAATTATTAAGAATCTATGACAGGTGGAATAAGAGCCCCTAAGGATGTCTATGGTTTCATCCCCAGACACTATAAATATGATATAGTTCAAATGGCAAAACTATCATTGTAGATGTTAATAAGGTTATGGACCTTTAAGAGGAAGAAATTACCCTGTATTACGTAAGTGTACCTAACTTGATTACATAAGTCTTAAAAATTGGAGATGCCTTCTAGGGTGGTTAGAGTTGTGTGACAAAAAATAAGAGTTAGAGAGATACAGTATCTTTGAGTGATGATGAAAGAAGAAAGCTAAGAACCACAAATCTTAACTAGAAGATGGAAAGGTAAGGAAGCAGATTCTTCCACACACCCTTCGGAAAGGAGCTTATCCCTGCCAACAGCCTTCATTTTAGTCTAGTGAGACCCATATCCGATTTTTAACCCACGAAGCTGTAAGATCATAAACTTGTGCTGTTTAAGTGGCTAAGTTTGTGATAATTTGTCATAGCACAAATAGGAAACTAATTACAAAATCCCAGAAAATATTTAGGAGCTACACAAGAGCAAGAGTATCTCCTTTAAAAGGAAAAAAATAGAGAGTAGGTAAAATGATTTTAAAAAGAAAGGCATAATTTAAGATTATAATTTTAGTTGTCTGGGATTAATACTCCTCACTTGCTCAACATATGTCTTCCATTTGATATTTTCAGCATATCATAGTTGACTTATGCAGGAAAGCAGTGTGTGGGTAAATAAAAGACTATTACATGAAACAGATTCCAATCATGAGCACACTGTACATATATACATATTAGCTATGATGAAAGTTATTATTTTTACATATTATAGACATATCTTATCTCTTGTAGCCAGTGAGCACTTGAAATATGGCTGATGTGACTAAGAAACTAAATTTTAAGTTTTATTTTGATTACATAATTTAAAGAGCCACAGTGGCCAGTCGCTACTGAATTTGATAGTGCAGTGGAGAGTTTGGTCTTCCTATAACATTAAGCTTATGAACACATATCTAAATGAGAAGAAAATGAACAGGTAACAAGTGAAATAACTGCAGAATTCTCACCTGGAGCCACATACATTAGTCCCAAGACAGCTGTGGTAAAAGAGGAAGAACATCTAAGGTTGAAGGGGACCCTGTCCTAGTCTCTCCATAGCTGCACACCTCTGACCAGGTCACTTGACCTCACCAGATCTTATGTTTCATTTCCACATACAGAAAGGATGCTAACTTGACCTCAGTGGGTTGTGATGATGGCTGGTAACTGATGTGAAATGGAAGACACAAAACCAGCACTTAACAAATACTCAGCTGAGCCTAGTGTCTTGCTAACTGTGTCACTTTCAGTTGGGCATTCGTTTTTGGTCAGGTGGCCCATCTGATTCCCAGTTTGCACATTACCAATTACCTTTTCTAAAATAGACCGTGGTGGGCTGATGAAATGAGGCATGAAAATTAATGATCATATCATCACCATAAATCACTGAGGACATAGTTCATGTACATATGTCATCATCTGTTTCAAAGAACTGTAAAGTAGATGATACATTTGAAGTAAAACTTTCATAAATGTTTACACTCTGTTGATTGAAAAGTTTTCAGTGACCTAGTAAGTTCACTATTTGGAACAAACATTAAACTCAAGTTAAATAAAGTGCTTTGGCCTGGGCAGAAAAAAAAAGGAAAGGGCTGGTGGAAAGTGTAAGACCAAAAATCTATCTGTAGGAATATGAAACTCCCCTTCCTTTCAGAGACTTTATCCTGCTACTCTCTTTATTAGAATTATTACAGGGTTTTCTGAGACCCAAACCTGACACAAATTTTAGCATCAAAAGGAACTCAGTACTGCTGTATAAGTAATATCAGTATAAGTTCTCCTGTTTTACTCCATAAATGTACTTATTTATTTTCCCAAGCCTTTCTAAGTTGTAGTTTATTGAACAGCTACTCTAGGCAAACATAGTGCTAAGTTCTTTCCATAGTTTATCAATGACCATTATACCACCCTGCAAGAAGTTCTGATGACAACCATTGCAAAAGAGAAGGTTATGAAATGTGCTCCAAATCATACAGCTATGAACAGACACAGTCCTGCTGGAAATCCTCTCTCCTTCCACTATTCCACACTACCTCTTTGATAAAAGAACTAATGGTGTGCAATTAACTTCTAACCCAGCATTCTGTATGGGAATTCTTATACTTGTAAAATTTAACCTATGGAGGCACAAATGAAAGAAAATCAGTCATGACACAGAAAATTTATGAAGGTAAATATTTAATCTCTATTCCAATAGCAACCACTGATTGTAGGACAATTTTGAATGAATTGAATGGAAGGAAAATTCATTTCATTAACCTTTCATATGAATGTATTACTTTTTAACCAAACAGGCAACTGTACTTGTAACTCAGTTCAATGTTAATTAGATTAAAGGCATGAGGCTATAAAAGGAGCCATCAGCAAGCTTTTTGGGCAAGGCTATAGAACCACTCTATTCCTTTTCCTGTCAATATTGAGAAATCA